AAGAGTACAACCATGACACTTTCCCATTGTTGAATCACTTAGCTTGGATCAAAACCAAAGTGGTTTGACAAGCTTTTCCTTCATACTTGATGTCTTGATCGTGTTGGCTCCAAATCTGATTAATTAATCCTCCAACAGCTTCGTTAAACATTTTAGCTCTTGAGCGAGTCATTGGACCAGTTGGTGTGACAAGAGCATCCTCGGCTACAAGCTTATCCTCCTCTCCTAGTTGCTTATCCTCCTCTCCGAGCTGCTTCTCCTCAGCTATGAGCTTAGCTTCTTCAAGTTTAAGTTCCGGTTCATGCTCCAATTCCTTAGTGCTATCCATGATCATATCAGCAAATGTTTCATTTTGGAGCTACGAATAGCTTCATTAAACCGGAGTGCGCGGCGGGTGGTAACATCCGAGGAGATCCTGATGGTTATTTTGGAGCCGTTAAGAGTCATAGGAGGCGCGTTGCTAGCGCTTCAGGAACGGGTTAGTGGTATGGATGTGCAGATTGCGGGGGAGTCAATGTCGGCAGATCTGTACATTAGTCCAGTGGAGCTGTATGATGTGATTCTTGGCTTTCCTGAAGGAGATGGTACAAATGTGCATCTAAGTACGGCTTACCATCCTCAAACAGACCGGCATCTAGAGCGGACCATCCAGACGCTTGAGGATCTTTTGACGATGTGTGTGTTGGATTAGGGTGGTCAGTGGGACGATCACTTGAGCTTGGTGGAGTTTGCCTACAATAATAGCTACCAGGCGATTATTGGGATGGCTCCTTCTGAGGCGTTGTATGGAAGGCCATGTTGGACACCTCTATAATGGACCAAAGTGGGGGATAGGAGCATATATGGTGCAGACTTTGTTCAGGAGACTTTGGAGAAGATTCGGGTTCTTAAGTTGAACATGAAGGAGGCGCAAGATCGACAGAAGAGTTATGTTGATAAGCGGTGCAAGGAGTTAGCGTTTGAGGTTGGAGATATGGTGTATCTCAAAATGGCCATATTACGTGGTCCTAACAGGTCCCTTACTTATACTAAGCTGAGTCCTAGGTATATGGGTCCTTTCAGGATTGTGGAGCGTGTTGGACCGGTAGCGTATCGGTTGGAGTTACCTAAGGTTATGCAGGCGTTCCATAAGGTGTTCCATGTGTCGATGCTGAAGAAATGTCTGCATAAGGATGATGAGGTGTTGGCTAAGATTCAGGCAGATTTTCAGCCCATCATAACTTTAGAGGCGAGACCGGTGAGGATTCTCGAGAATCGGGTAAAGGAACTTCGGCCTTAGAAGAATCCTTTGATGAGAGTCCAGTAAGATGCATCCAAAATCGGGTAAAGGAACGCATATCCGTAAGATGGCGTTCAAGACGAGATATGAGCATTATGATTTGTAGTGATGCCTTTCGGATTGACAAATGCACCAGCGGCGTTCATGAGGCTGATGAACAGTGTGTTCCAGGCGTTTCAGGATGAGTTCATTATCATCTTCATCGACGATATCCTGGTGTATTCTAAGAATCCTGAGGAATACGAGGTGCACTTGAGGGAGGTTTTGGAAAAGCTGTATGCTAAGCTAAGCAAGTGTTGTTTATGGCAGAGATAGATGGGTTTTATGGGTCATATTGTGTTTGTAGAGGGAATTTTTGTAGTGCTAGAGAAGATTGAGGCTATTAGAGATTGGCCTAGACCGCAGAATGCCACGGAGATCCAGAGTTATCTGGGATTGGCGGGATACTACAGACGGTTCATGAAGGGTTTTGCAAGCACAGCTCAACCGATAACCAAGTTGACGGGGAAGGATATTCCTTTTGTGTGGACTCCTGAGTGTGAGCAGGGTTTTGCTAAGCTTAAGAAGATGTTGACAAGTACGCCGGTCTTGGCTCTAACATAACAGGGGGAGCCGTATGTGGTGTACATAGATGCTTCGCGAGTTGTTTTCGGTTGTGTGTTAATGCAGTAGGGTAAGTTGATTGCATATGTTTTGCGGCAGTTGCGAAAGCATGAGGGCAACTACCCTACTCAAGAATTGGAGATGGTGGCGGTAGTATTCGCTCTGAAGATTTGGAGATCCTATCTGTATGGGGTGAAGGTTCAGGTGTTTAGAGATCATAAGAGCCTGAAGTACATATTCACGTAATCTGAGTTGAATTTAAGACAGAGGCGGTGGATGGAGTTGGTTGCAGACTATGACCTGGAGATAGCTTACCATCCCGGTAAGGCTAATTTGGTTGCAGATGCCTTGAGTAGGAAGCGAGCGGCTTCAGCTAGAGGGCAAGATATGAAGACCTTGGTAGGAGAGATTAGCACTCTGCCTTTGTGTGCTACTTCTCAGGAGTCACTTGGGTTAGAGGCAGCTAGCCGAGCAGATCTTCTGACCATAGGTAGGGCGGCTCAGGAGTATCAGGGCTGGTTAGTACTTCTAATGATACAGATTCAGAGTATCAGGTTATAGCACACGGGACTATTCTTGTGCGTGGGCTGTTTTGTGTTCCTAAGAATGAGGGTTTGAGGCGTGAGATTATAAGTGAGGCTCATGGGAGAATGTTCTCTTTTCATACAGGATCGACCAAGATATACAGAGACCTGGAGAGGTACTACAATTGGGTTGGGATGAAGAAAGACGTGGCTAAGTGGGTGTATGAGTGTGATGTGTGTCAGCTAGTGAAGGCTGAGCATTAGGTGCCAAGTAGTCTACTGCAGAGTCTTCCTATTCCAGAGTGGAAGTGGGACATAATTACGATGGATTTCATAGTTGGTTTGCCGGTGTCTCAGTTCAAGGATGCTATTTGGGTCATTGTAGATCGTTTGACCAAGTCTGCACACTTTCTGGCTATCAAGAATACTGATGGAGCGGTAGTGTTAACCAAGAATTATGTGCAGGAGATTGTCAGACTTCATGGAGTACCGACCAGTATTGTGTTAGACTGGGATTCGAAGTTATTAAAATATTTTAAGAAGGTATTTATACGGTATTTATAAAGCTTTTATAAGATTTTTAAATTTACATACATATAAAGATAATTTGTGGCTATATATATAAAGCTTACATATATATTTTTGATAAATTTCAAATTGTAGTGACTTTTTGATAAATTTACAAGAGTGGTATTTAAAAAAAAATGGTATTGGAAAAAGGGTATTTTTGAAATTCCACCAATTTTGTTTCAATTTTGTACATGTGGATTCCACGTCAGCATGACTTCAGCACACGTGGATTCCACATTAGCATGACTACTGCACACGTGGATGCCACATCAAAATTAGCTAAACATTTATCACGTTTTTGTATGTTTTGGCAAAAAAACTAAACTTTAGGTTTGAAATTTAAATTATTTAAAAGTGCATGTATGATTTAACACATGCGATAGTTCAATGTATGAATTCATCACAAATTAACCAAAATATTTAACTAACCCGCTTAGATTTAACCAACCCGCTTAGATTTAACCAAAATATTTAATCAACCCGATTTAGATATCCAAACTTTATTTTAATAAAATTATAAGTTTATAATAATATTTTCTTAGACAATTCAGTAATATATATCCGTTTTGAAAATTTCAAATGACAACATATTAAAAAAAGATGAATTTTTATTCTATATTTATATTATATATTTTAATATAACAAATTAAAACAAGATCAAATAAAGGTGAAAGGAGAGTAATAAATGTTTTTAATTTATTATCTTAAATTAGTAAGAGAATATTAGGAAATTCAAAATCTAGATATGGAAATAATATAATCGGCTGGGAAATTATCCTATTTATATCCAAACACAGTTAAATATCCGATTTTCAAGTATTCAATTTTTTAATTTTGGGTTAATTTTTAGTTTTGACCACTATCTTGGTTAAGCTATAGTTCCAATACTGATTTTAAACATGAAATAGTTTTATTTTAAGAGAATTGAAATAAAGTGTTTCGTAATAAATCCATTATAAAAATATAATTATTACAAATAAAGAGAAGATCCAAAGACAGTAAAAGAGAATATTTTGGACATGCCTTTAGCTTGAAAAGATAGTCAAAAGCCAGCAATCCAGCAGAATGCATACAATGAAAACACAAAGTCTAACAATAAAAATAATAAAAAATAAAATCTAATGCATGCCCTGATGAAGGTCATTGATGAAGTTCTCACGAATATCGAATGGGACAAAGGAGGTAGATGGCTTCCTAGAAATGAAGTTTTAAGGTAAGAATTTTTTGAGTTAAACCCTTATTGCAGAGATCCCAAGCTTCTCCGGAGCATGTTTTTTTTTTGTATGGAAGAATAAATCATGAGTATATCCAATCCTATCATAAAAAAGATTTAAGAAACTAGTGCCACAAAGGAAGGTTTCGAACATGTTCTACATAGAGTTGCAGTTAAAGCCACCCGCTGGTTGATTACCTTTCTATATCCTTGCTTGTATATTAGTTCAAATACTTATTCATCAATAAAATTCGTGGAAGACCATTTAAAAAAAACATATTCCAACCATTAAGTCGTAACTTAAGACCCTAGCAGTAAATGATTATCAATCAAAATACATCTACACAAACACTAAAACAACCATATACACAAACATGTCCCAAAAGATGGATAAACTTCTTCTAAGAGTGGCTTCCAATCCATGTTAGAATTTGACTTAAAATCTTGAATAAATATTTATGGTTTACATTCCATCTGAAAAGCCAAGTGAGAGATAGAGAAAGAAAAAAAAAACTGATACACATTTTAATAGCAAATCGAAACAACAAAATATGTACTCTTTTACCATTACACCTTTATAATTTGGGTAAAATACCAATTTCCACAACCCACTATACATCAGGTTTATGGCAGCGGTGTTATGTAAGAACATCACTTGAGAGTACGAAGTAAAAACATAGTGGACTAACTTTAATTTTTTAATAGACTTGCGCCCCATAAAGAACCTGGGCAAGCATGTAATTTACTAAATTCCATGTGTTGATTAGATTCAGTGTAACTGTGTGAGAAAACATTATTACTTCTATAAAGCTAATCAAATCGGACTTGGATTCAAACGTTCAGTTTTAGATTCGATCTTTTGTTTACATTCACACAAATTAACCCCCCCCCAAATTTTTTTTAATGCAACATAGTTTCCCAAAGCGGAGAACTTGTTTCATATTTCAAATCACCATCCAAAACAGATGAGTATAATTCATGTTAATCCGTCATGATTAGAATCGATGTTGAGATAAACATGCTACCAAGGATGATAATTTACCTTTCTCCAAACCAAATCAGCAAATCTCCTACTTCATGAGTAACTCAATGTCCTCGCATCTGCAGAACCCATTTTCTCACCCGCAACGCAAGCATCAAACTCGTATCAGAGGGATTTGTAATCTGCAACTCCTAGCTTCTCTTCCTTGAAATCCAAATCCTTGGTACCAAAGTCACTAGATTGATCATCGAAGACATCTTTCTTCTTCTTCTTCTTTTTCTTCTTGTCCAATGTTGGGAGACGGCGTTTTAGAGAAGAGAAAAATTATATTAGGTAAATGCTATTATTATTAAATAGGTGTTTTGATTTCTTATAATTAATAATTAATGCATAACAAAACTTGAATTGTTAAGCTGGATCCATTTAAAAATCTGGTCCCATTTACTATAATTTATCAGAGATGGAGAGTAAAAGCCCGTAAACAAAATCGAACATGCCTTGTTTTCTACGAGGATCGAACTCGATCTGTTACACTCCTTTTAAGACACGGGCAGACACGCGGATCTTTAGCAAACGGGTCGGATAATTGATTTTGATTTGTAAAAATCAAAAAATTACCCATTCTAATTTCAATAAAAGCTATCCTTCACAACTAATTGAATGGCAAATATGGAAATTTTTGTCAATTTTTAGAGATATCAAAAGTGTACTTCTCTTTTATTATATAGGGGATTGTCTAAAAATAAAATAAAATCCAATACAATACTTTGAATTTCCATTTATAAATAAATCATCAGAAATTATTAAAATAGTACACTGAATTTTTATTAAAATAATAATCTGAACACTTCACTAACAATTTAAAGATTTTTAATTTTACTTTTTTGACAGATTCATATATAACGATAAGTTTAGATGAATTTGAATATCATCAAGACCTTGTTATATGTACATCAATTAGACATGTATGGTCCTTATAAAGAGAAAATGTTAAAACTCTCACTCTGTCCACATCTCCTAGATTAAAAATACAATTCATGGTTGGGATTCTAGGGTTTATCGCCACCATGGAAAAAAGAAAAAAGAAAGTGGTCTCCAACCCAAGCAAGTCCCCAAGAGAAAACATGACGGAGATCATCCTCCCATTTGATCTATTAATTGAGACATTCTCAAGATTGTCATCGTAAGAACTTCGAGGTCTCGTTGCGTTTCAAAGCGTTAGTATTTCATACTGCGTTGTTGAGAATTCACCCAACTGTTTCTAAATATATCATCGGTTCGGCCGCGTATTTTATTCAACTTCCTATACAACGGTAAATGGATCTTTTACTCCATACCTCAAGAACTAGATCCAAACCGCAACTACTCTTCTCCTATAACTCCTTATTACCAGATGCATTTCCCTAAATGTTTGGGTTCTGGGAAGATAAGTGTCCCTCTTTACCTGGTTTGATATGTAACAAATTTAAGAAGCCGATGCTCTGTAACCCTAGCACAAGATAGTACATATCTTTACCCATAGTGACAACCAAGAGGAATCAGATTACACCCTATCTCGGGTATGATCCAATCCAAAAAGTATTTAAGGATAATACTTTGAAGAGTTTTCGATGTGATCATACTCGAGATGGGGTTTCATCTTATTCCTCTTCGTTGTCACTAGTGGTAAACATATGTACTCTCTGTACTAGGCTTACAAATCATCAGTTCTTAGATTTGTTATAGATCAAACCAAGTGAAGAGGGACACATATTTTCCGCAGAACCCAAACTTTAAGGGAAATGCATATGGTAATAGGGAGATATAGGAGAAGAGTAGTTGCGGTGTGGATATAATTCTTGAGGTATGGAGTAGAACATCTGCTTACCTTTGTGTAGGAAGGTGAATAAATTATGCGGCCGAACCAACGACATGATTTTAGAAACATTTGGGTAAATTCTCGACGATGCAGTAAGGAAAACAAAAGCTTCGACATGCAACGATACCTCGCAACGTCTTCAATTGAAATCTTTGAGAATATCTCAATTAAGAAATCAAATTGGAGGATAATCTCCATCCTTGGGGACTTGCTTTGGGTAGAGACTACTTTATTATGCCTTCTTCCATGGCGGCAATAAACTCTAGAATTCCAAACATGACTTGTATTTTTTATCTAGCTAGGAGATGTGGACGGAGTTAGAGTTTTAACATTATCATTTATAAGGACTACACATGTTTAATTGATGGAGATATAATGAGGTCTTGATGATATTCAAATTCATCTAATTGTATCGTAATATATGAATCTGTCAAGAAAAGTTTATAAATCTTTAGATCTTCAGTGA